GGGGCAATATGCTGACTCTCTGTAAACCGCTTAGAGAGGCCTGAAAGGCCTATGAAGCAATATATAAGTCTACTGCTATTGCTATTGCTATTGCTACCTGAGTCTGTAGGTGGGCACTCCAGCCAAATAGGCTGGCATCCGATGTGATGACTAGGCATTTGGGCTCCTTGAAGAGGCATTTGGCTGGCATCCGATGTGATGACTAGGCATTTGGGCTCCTTGAAGAGGCGATGTGATGACTAGGCATTTGGGCTCCTTGAAGAGGCAGCTCCATGGCTGAAGATTGCCACCATCTGAGGGAGTGGAGGAACATGAACTGTTGGTGGAACATAAAGTATTGCTGTGGAGCTGCTGGCGCCAGCTCAGTGCTGCAGTAGGAGAAACCACTGGAGGGTTCTTGCATATAGTCGCACCCAAGGAACTATTGCAATGCACAAGATCATCTTCCCCTGAAGCTGGGAAAGAAGAACCACTGCCACTGTTCATGATCATTGAACTCGGGTCACAAGAGTTCTAATGCTGTCTATACATTCCTAGGATAGAAAAACCTTTTGAGTCCAAAGTATCTATTACCGCTCCCTGGTGGAGCAGTTTGGTGGTGGGACTCAGGTGACTCTTCTCCAGGTTGACGGAGAAACCATGGGCTTTGAGTGTTTGCATTGTAAGCCAAAGGTCTTATGTTGCTTGTGGTAGATTGGAGGATGATGTCGTCCAAGTAACATTGAAGTCATTGTAAGTCAAGTAACATTGAAGAGAAAGAGAGATAGTAGGAGAGGAAGAATAAATGTGGAAGAGAGCTAGGGGAAGAAGAAAGAAGTAAGGAGAGATGGGTGGAAGGGAGAGAAAGAGAAGGAGAGGAGGAAGGAAGAAAGAAAAAGAGAAGGAGAGAGGGTAGAAAGGAGAAGACAGAGGGTAGGAGTAGGGGAGAAGTAAGGGAAGGAAGAAGGGGAAGGAGAGGTGGAAGGAAGGAAGTAGAGAAGGAAGGGAGCAGGTGTGAAGGATGGTAAACAATACATAACAAATCATACCTTATATCCTTTTAAATGGAATAATAATAATATAAGAATGGCAAAGAAAAAGAATAACTATGTGAATGTATACCTATAACTGTATGTAAGAGAATAAATGACAGTAAAAATATAAAGCACAATTAATACTTGATCATAAGTAGCTAAGTATAAATAAATAAAGAAATGTATATAAAAATGGATAATGAATAACAAGATTATGAACGCAAGATAGAAATGTATAGAAGGGAAAACACTAACTGCAAAGAAACCGATTCGGAACTGCTGTATGATATACGGTGGAACCTATTGTTCCTATTTTTTTTAAAGTTATGTGGTTATTTTTGTTAATGTGTTTATGTGTTCTGTTGATGTGCTTATGTGTATAAAATAAAAATTAAAAAAAACCCAAAACATTGAAGTCTTACTGGCCTTGCCCTGAAGTGTGGCTAACAATTTTGTCAATATCCTGAGCGCTAATGACAGGCCAAACAGCAGGGGTCTGTATTGATAATGGTGTCCTGTCAGTGGTGGGTTTCTGCCTGTTCGCACCGGCTCGGGAGAACAGATTGGTGAAATTTACCAATCTGGTGAGATGAGGTTTGACCGGTGGACCCAGAAGTAACTTCCGGAATGCCTGCCTTGGCTCTGTCACTCGCTCACCCTGGCTGTCCCATTGCAGCTTGCTCACTCCCCTGCCTGTCCACACTAAACTAGCCCAACCTGCCGCTCACTGGTTGGCTGGAGTTGTGAAAGCTGTAAGGTACCGTACGCCACATGGACGAAAGTGGGTGGGCGGTGGTGGCAGCGGCGAAGGCAGGCTAGCTTTCACGGCTTTCACTAGGGAAGGCCTTTAGGGCTTCCCTCATGAAAGCTGCAAGCTGCGTATGCCACGTGGCCGAAAGCGGGTGGGCGGCAGTGGCAGCAGCGAAGGCAGGATAGTTTTCGCGGCTTTCGCTAGGGAATTTTTATTTTTTAATTGTTTATAAAATATATTTACTACAAGAAATGTTATTCCTTTTTGCAAATGTTTTCTTTGTGATGCAATATGTTGCTTTTAAGTGTTCAGACCAGGTTTATGTGTCTCAAAGTGGCTGCTTTTCTATGGGCAGGCCAAGTTGGGGCAAGGCAGCTTTGTCAGATTTAGTGTGTTTCACCCTGTTGTGAGGTGGTTGCTGGTTCTGTGAGCTTCTTGGCAATATTCTTTATAATTTCCCACAATGCCTTGATGGTTTTTATTCCAGTGTCTTTGTCTTTCCTGTCCTTAGGGTTAGGGGGA